CTATGGAGCACAAGTGTGCCCTGCAACACCGATCACTGGTGCAGCCGCGAGCCCGTACAACGAGAGAAAGCGACGGGACAGCCAAAATATCATCACAAACCGTGAAGCAACAAGAAAAGTGATCGTCGTTATAAGGATACTAATACATAATAGTCATAAAGTTGATGTCATAGTCTATACACATGTATAGGGAAGCAAGGATTCATGGTGTAGTGGTTGGGCGCACCGTTGGCGCTTTCGCAGTGTAAGGTCGATGGTTCGATTCCTGAGGGCAGCGATCATTTTGACTTCCAGAAAACGGGTTACAGCTCCTTCGAATAATTATCTATCATTGGAGGTAGTACTTCTACACTAGTATAGTTACAACCATGGTACGGTTGCAACTGTGCCCTGGTTGCAACCATGGGCCTTACAGGGGGTTGGTTGCAACCCTGGCACTGCGATGTATGCGACTGAGAAGACTTACTTGTACATTGTTGGGCTCGACCCCGTCCTTTGTTTGTGGGAGGTGATGGCGCGACGTGAGCTCCATGACGGGACCCGGGTACAGCACGTTCAGGTCCAAAAGATCGACAAGATAACAGACGGCTATGATACCAGCACGCGTTGAGCGCGCGCAGCGCCGGTGTGGCTACAGTAGTGACTAGTGCTCACCCGTGGCGTTGCCACGGCGCGTGCGGGCCTTTGGCCCTCTTATATAACGTGATATCGGCCAGGTATTTCAGAATTTTATACCCTGTCGGGATAGTGGGGTGTTATGTGACCCGGGCGTAACCCGAGCCAGCGCCAAACCGCTGTTTCTGGGGGTGCGCCAGTATTGGATCCTTGCGCAATTTTTCCCTACTCGTCCGCTCTTCGTGAAATTTGGTACATAGGAGGGCATGTGGATTCGGCACCCATGTGCAGAGTAGGAAGGCAAACGGGGGAGAGGGGGGAGATATATTTGCGGAACGGCGGTACCCCCGCCGCTTCTGGGGGAGGCATAGTATGTAGTCAGTTCCGCAGGGCATGCGCCCACCCCATTCAGTTACACTCTAATGCATGCCCACGCGCCGTGTGGTAGGAGTGCAATGTAGCGCCGGCTGGTGCGCGCCCCCGTGCGAGAAGGGAAGCGTCGCGGGGGGTCGGCCTCGTATAGCTGGTCCAATATCGATTATAAGCCAGTTTCGCGCACTGGCAGGAGCGCGAGCGGGTGACAGTGATTAGCGCCCTCGTGCACCACCGCGCGACGTGCAGCGCGAGTCCGAACACACCGCCGCGAGCACCGCACGCGTGTGGTGACATCTCTGTATGCACCGCAGAACACCCGTGTGCATTTTGCGTGCGCGTGAGGACTCATGTCCAAACAGGACCTTGCACCGGGTGCAGTGGCCATTCCACGATACGATGCCGTGCTATTGCCGTACCTCGCGAGGCTCGCGCGCGGGGAGTCTGCAGTGCACGCAGAGATATCGTCACGCGCGCGCGGTGCTCGCGGCGGTGCGCTCGGACTCACACTGTACTTTGCACGGTGATGCGCGAGGGCGCTACGCACTGTGGCCCACTCCGAAATTGAACACGGCCCCACTTGCGCTCGTGCACGAAAATTGAGCCAGCTGTAAAAAAAAAAATGGTATCATCGCCTCGCGCATCGACCTCGTAAACTCGGCCGAAAGACAGTCCCGACCTGGGGCGGCCTCGCAAGCTCGGCCACACAAAGGCGCCAGCCTCGCAGGCTCGGCCGGCCGGCGCACGTGGAAGCCACATGGCAAAACCTCGGTTAGAGTCGCTTATTTCGGCAACTTCGCTAAATTCGCGTATCGCTGCAAGCGACGTACGCGGCTTACTAACACCACCGCTCCCTTCTTTATAGATTCGCCAGGTGCATCCGTTGTGACAGCCTATCGGCAAGTGCGGATGCATCTGGTGCCGGCCGGCCCGGTTGAGCTCGACACCGCCTTCCCCAAGCGCGCTCGCGCACCCCCAGGTGCGACGCTGTCCCGACACGCCGGGAATATCAAAATTTCTGCTCATCCGATATGTATGAGTAAACCTTACAAGAAATGTAGTGTTTTTGGTAGCGTTCTGAGCCTTTCAGAATGTTACATTTCGCGCGCGTTGAAACCTTACGTACCTCGAACTGTTCCCGAGTCCTCAAAATGAAACATTTCCGCGCTTGCAGAATGCTTTCTCACACATAAAGTTCTGGCGGCCCGGGAACTCAAAGTTTCCCGGTGTGCGAAATCACGCGCCAAATTTGGCGTTTCTTTCATCATTTTGTCAGCCTCGCAACGGTATGTCATTCCGGCGGTCCCAAAATGTTATGTTTTGAATCCGGGCGCCCGCTCGTCGCCCACTCGTCGCCCACTTATCGCCCGCTTGTGCCCGCTCGTCGCCCGCTCGTGCCCGCTGTGCCCGCTCGTTGTGTGCGCTTCAACTGGCATACGCGGCCTGGGCAGAAGGGGTAGGCATAACGGGTCGTAACGGCGGCCGCCTTGGGAGGCGTCACGGAGGGCGCGCGACCAGCCCTCCACGCACGCGCGCGCTGTCGCATCGCCTGCACCGCGCCTCGACGCCCGCGACGGCGTCACACTGAGTTCTCGCAGACGGACGAAAAAGCACATCATATACAACTAGCTAATAGTCATACTCGAGAGCGTCTAATGGATCCGGGATTTCTTGAGTCTTCCTGCGTGAAGGCCGGTGCACTGTCGAGCTCGCCGAGGGGCACTCACGACACGTGCGCTCCTTTTGTGATGCGCCTTCCAAACCCCCCCCCCCCACCAGTTGAACCAGCCATTTGAGGAGGTACAACGAAAGCGGCCGGATGATCGAGCCTACAGAAACAGACGCCCGTCGATGCGCTTCCGACTATCTCGGAGAGTCCGTCGGCCCGTTGTCCGCAGACGCCCCCACACGCCTTTCCGACTTTCTCGGAGAGCCTGCCGGCCCGTCCGCTCCCGCTCCCCTACACGCTACTCCGTCCTCGTCGTTCGTGTCTACGGCCGTAGATCCTAGTCCTCTCGCTCTCGCCCACTCTCACACGCTCTCGTTCTCGTACGCTCTTTCGCTCTCTCGTTGTCTCCCACACTCTCGCTCTCGTCCACACTCTCGCTCTCGTCCACACTCTCGCTCTTCTTCGCTTCGCTTCTCTTCTCTCGTCATTCGGCCGCAGTATGAACAAGAACAACGCGCACGTATGTACATTTTTAAACATGTCTTCAATATTCTAATGACGAGTAGATATTCAACGTGATCTACGGCGTTGTCGAGCCGGAAGACATCAAGTACAAGGACTTCGAGAAGGCGATGACAGCCTCGGCGCGCGCAAGAGCACCGCCGGAGGCTCTCTTCGCTCGTTCACCGCATCGTGCTGGAAGGGCACCGTGCACGTCCATCAGGTGAGTCTCACCGTTTCACGCACTGTCCTTCGTCGCTGACCAAAACACCAGCCCCACCCGTCCGACCACTACACGAAGAAGAACGCGGGAGGCTCAAGGTGAGCGATCACTGTTTGCGACGCATAGACTTGATACTCACCTTTTCCAGGGCCAGTTGGAGTCCAGCGGATTGACCCACCGGGTCATTCACCGTGAGGCCCGCAAGGCGGGTATCTTCATCCCGAAGCTGCCGCCGCAGTAGACTTAGCCTCGTAGTCGCAGTTTGCTTGATGTTAATTGATGCGATTCTCATTGCCATGATCGGGGGTCGCAGCGGGCACCTGGGTCGCGCATTCTCGTAGCCTCACTTCAAACGTTATTGCATTACGCTAGCTACGATACAGTCTCCGCGTCTTCGAGGGACAGTCGGTCGCTGACCTTGTTTCATACGTTCTAAAACAGCTTCCTTGTATCCTAAATCGTCCAGCGAGTTAGCAGGACGGCGAGAGTGTTGGTTGCATCCACTAACCTCGCCAAGTCACACGGAAAACCGGCAGATGCATCCACCAGGAAGCTCGCAATGCGGTAAGCCTGCCTAGGGGCGCGTCAGCGCGAGAAGGGTTCCGTCATATGCAGGGATCCCTTACTTGCGCGCGTACGCCGCCTTCCCCCTCTCGTTCGCGCGATCATGAATCTCCGCATCACGAGTGAACTTGGATCGGTGATGCTCAAAGAATAGCAGCAGGCAGCGCCGGGCGTACTTACAGACAGGTTACACAGAGAGGCTGAGGGCCTCAGCTAGATTCATGCCGGTAAACGAGAGCGTGAATCACTAGGATATGTAGATGTAAGTCCGTAACAAGCGGAAGAGGGAACGTAACGTATTGTGAGACGCGTTTGGTCGTGGTGGCTGGTGAAGACCCGCGTTGGACTGCGGGGGCTGCACCGCAGCCGTAGGGTTCATGCGAGGTACATAGTAGAGAGTCCACGAAGGGCTGGATTGTGCAAGAGATCGGATCCATGGCTAGTACTGTGAGTTGCGCATTGAGGACTAGTTGGGTCATTGAGCGAAATAAGAAGGAGAATCGCACCTTATGTAAAGGGAGAACGGCTGCGTCTCCCGAAGGCATTATCCATCTTGCAAAATGACCTGTAACATCAGATGGGCATACACTTTCAAGCGTGCTGGAAAGCTGCTGAGATCGCGTTGTGGCAGGGAAGTCGTCGTACTCCAGAAATGGGTCGCCATGGCGTGCAGGTAGATGCGATTGTACTGCAAACTTGACGGTGACGTGACCTTGTAGATATACTTGATGCTGCCAAACTCCCGCTCGCCCTGCCGTGACGGTAGAAACGCACGAGGCTGTTTCCTGCGTGGGTCGACGCCCGTGCGAATATGACATCGTCGTGCCTATGCCGGGCAACCAGGGTGACATTGTCGCATTCAACCGGAGTAAGAAGTTGTCGCAAGTCGTCTGGGATCTTGTCATAGGAAGTGGGTGTCCTTCAGCATCGTCCCCGTGCACCTCTGAAGACGACTCCACGCTGCCACTCCGAATGCCTTGTGAAAGAATCGCTTCAATTCACGGAGTGCAGAGGGACAATCAGGGCGAAGCAACCAGCGTCGCAACCGAGCAGCTCTCAGAAAAGACTGTAACATGGTAACTTCTGCCTCGCCTGCAGGATTGATGAGGAAGTGAGTAAACACCGGTGAAACCAATCAGAGCGGTAAAACTTACCAATCTTGTCGTTGTGAGGAATCCGTTGAAGACGTCCGATGAGACGTTCGAAGGGGAAGCACCACCACAAGTATACAGGTCCAAAAAGCCTCAGGAAGTCGTAGATATGGAACGCCACATGGTTGTTTGTCCGGTGGGAATACTTGCTGGGATAGAGCTTTTGTATGCCGCATAACCATTGGGCGACATAGTGACAGTACTTCTCAGCGCATGAGTGTGAAGTCGTGCGTTTGCAAAGAAGGTAAACAGCAGATACTAGCTTCATGGTAGTATCCAAGGCTTCGTGCGGGGAGGGAGGCACAGATGCGGACAACGTGTCGATTGCTCCGTCATGCTTTGTTGGCATGCGACCCCAAAGGCTGACCAGCGCGAGGGGGAAATAGATCGTAGCCAGAACACGCCATTCATCCGCTTTGAGGGTCCCCGCACTGGCTTCCCCGTAGTTAAGCGGCACTGAGCTCACCCAAAAAGGTGTGATGGTATCTCGTATGACCTCTTGGATGTGCTGTAGAGATGTCCTGGTGGAGGTCTCCTCATGTACCGACTCGTTGGAAGTGAGCGGTTGGGTGCGTCGCTGTCAGGGAAGTCCGGATTAGGATTGGGGGGACGAGGGATCGACGAACGTCCACATACCCAGCGTACGAGAGCATCAGTGCAGTTCTGCTTCAATTTATTCCCTTCGCATGGAACGCCAAGATCATCCACGACGAACCGCAACGGTTTGCGATTCTTTCCCATTAGTTGTTTGTCCAGCTTCTTGAGACCGTGCTCGATGTCGCCATGGACCACCCGAGTTAGTGCCGTATGGATCTGACGTACTTGAGCCATCTCCTTGTCCGTCATCCGGTCGGTCTGGGGGAGTGAATCGTTGGTCGCAACGTCCACCGTGGCAAAGTCGCAGCAGAAAGCAGGTGGTTCATCGTCTCTAAGATTCGCCTTGCTGAAAGTCATGCCCAGGATGTCCCGAAAGTGATAAGGACCAGTCCTTCAAGGATACAGTGCATGGGATCGACGACAAGTTGACGAGTGGGGTCCCAGTATGGAAGCCGCCAGAGTTCTGACCATCGAATGCCATGCTCGTTGAATATACGTTTGCGTTCTGCTTCTGTCGTTGCGTCTCGCCAGCGCTCAGCTTGTTCACGCAGCTCGTTGAGGTTGCGCTTTGTCCAGTGTTCGAAGTCGGTGCGTCCTCGCGTTGATTGATGGTAACACGTGCATACGTGACAATAGTGATGACCGTTGTGTCTAGCCATTTGCGAAGCGTGACGGGCAGCTTGTAGATCCATGACTACGGCAGCAACAGCCGAACGTGAGACACAGCTGTGAAACATAGAAGCGACGCGCAATGCTTGATACCACGTATCCATGCTGTCAGGAGGACGTCGACAATCGGCCGAAGGTAGTGGTTCAGCGCGACTCCGTGAGGTTCGCGTGGGCCCGGAATGATGGCGAGGGGACCGAGGTTTTCGGTTTGTATCTGATCTCGGGAGGCAGGTTGAGACATGCGAGAGATATAACAGTGGCGGAAATGCTGGGTCCTCGAACAGACATGCCTTCGATGTTGAACGAGTCCAGATGAAGCGCGAACATGAGGCGAAGCTCGCCCTTTCTGTCGGTAAACAAGGAAATTTGTCCTCGAGCTTGAGAGTCCGCCAATATTCAGCTTCGTGTGCATGAGAGATGATATCGGGTGACTGCTCTTTGTTCTTGATCGCTTCCAGAGCCTTGTCGCAAGACTCATTGATATGACGCACATTGACTTCCGAAGAGAGCAGTCCACTGACGTAATCCTCGAAGCTGTGGACAACAAACGGTTTGATTGGCTTCGTGGACGGGATCCCGCTCGGAGAAGTTACAACAAGCGGTGTATCACAGGATCCGTTTTTTTCCGAGCGATTCGTGCACTTGGTGGGATAGGTAGATAAGGAAGTCAGAGGGTCAGGAGTTGGTTTATATAGACAATGGCATCGTGGACATGCAGCATACGTGACTGTAAGAGGCTCTAGATTGAATTGAGCGAGTGCAGATCATAGGGAGGTGGGTATCTGAGCAAGAATCTTCTGCTCTAGGGGTGTAGCAGAAGACGACACCGTGTCGAAGCACATGGACACCAAGAACGTGATGCTAGTCATTAGGAAGTCGGATCCGGTGCGACTGAGCTTCCCTAAGATGTGAAGAACGACCCAAGGAATACAGCGACTTGCGCTAAGGGTGTTTGTGGCTAGCAGGAATGTCGTAGTGGTGATCTACAGTACAATGTCAGAAGCAAGATGAGGGCGACATAAAAATCGCACTTACTACAGTCAAAGAAGACGGCGTCTGTTTCCGGGTTCCTAGGGCACAAGTGGCGAAGCTCCATGATGCGCCCATGAGTGTTCTGCAGCGACGTTGCAACTTGACGCCTTTTCATATCGATAGAAGGTGTGGATCGTGGGATCGAACTGAAACTGGACGACAACGAAGCGATTCGGTCCTCGGCGCGTGAAAGTTCGGACTCCGAAGGCGACACCAAGATGGTCTGGAGTTGTTGCAGTTCTGTGTGATGCGACTGAGACCGGATAAGGCTTTGGTGGTTGCGTGGTTCCGTTCGCGATGATCTTCAGTGGGCTTGGCTTCCGAAACCGCCTTCTTGATTCCCCAATGGACTCGAGAAGGTCGGTGCTTGAAGCGAATCCAAATGGTTCGCGGAGGTTCTCACCAGATGGAGTTATAACGTCGTCATCTTCTGCGAGAACAGTTGATATGAAAAGCTTGTTGGATTCTGCTTCTATGACTTCGTCGATGGCGCTTATGGGAATCGAGGAAGTGCTGGGAACAGAGAGCAGTCGTTGATGGCTGTAGAATTCTGTCTGATTCCTCCACTGTTTTCCTTTGCGAGAATGAGGGAACTCCTTCTTGCAGTCTGCGCATTGGCACCAGAGGTCTGCGCGAGGAGGCATCCGACGATGATTTGCGAGATAAGATCAAGGACCTAGTTCCTGAAAAACATATGAGAAGGGTTGTCGTGGAATATCACAGGCATTCTCCTACCTGTGATCGGAGTGGAGGGAGTACTTTGGGAGGGGCGGAAAGGCAAGCGGGTAATACCGCGCTTTGTCCTAGTGCGTGCTGAGTGGGGTGGGCGGAAAGGCAAGCGGTAATACCGCGCTTTGTCGTGTGCGTGCTGAGTGGGGTGGGGCGGAAAGTGAGCGAGTGGGTGAAACCGCACTCTGTCCGTCGCCGAAGCAAAACACTGAAAGGATTATGATTTTAGAGTGGAGATATTTCATAAAATGGTGTCTTACCTAGCGTGCAGGTCGTTTGTCGGAAGTGGGGGATGCTGAGAGGAACGCATAGTGAGCGTATGGAGGCGAATTAAGGACAGCAACTGGCGCCCGAACCATTGTTCATCGAGGCGCCTGCCCTTGTTCTCAGGTCGCGCGACGGTGGGCGCTTCTCTCTTTGTTCTCTTGCCATCAGCCCTCAAGTGCCGGTTGTACCCGCACTCGGGATCCCTCTCAGCAGTCCGACAGTGCGCGGTTGTACCCGCACTAGGAGCTTCTCTCACGTCCCTGTCGCTATACTCGTGCTACGTATATACCACCGGATCGCCACTACAAATGCTTTCGGAGTCGCTCGGACGTATGCGCGACCTGCACGGGTACGGGTGAGGGTCGCGCAGGTTGACCCGCAACGTACCACGCGGTACGCCGCGACCCGCAAGCGACAGATGGTTGAGGTGGAAAAGCACACCAAGGTGAGTACAAGCTCCACACTTCCCTACGTGTCATCGTCGTTGCGGAGAGCGCACGCGCAGCTGAGAGTGGGCGTCGTCGGGGCACGCGATCGGGCAGGGGCGTGCAGCCAAAGGTGTCCGCCCGACTACCCAAGCGGCATTGTCTACGCCTGTGCGTCGCGGCCAGTGACGCACCCTCACGAGCTGCACGCGCCCCTGGCGCACCGTCTTTCTCTGTCAGTCTGATTCGCAATGTTGCTGAAACACCTTCACCTACACGCAGGAGTTCAGAGCTCGCAAGTGCGCGGTTGTACCCACATTCGAGTCCTCGACGCCTGTATATCCACTCTATACGGAACTGGTGTACTCTGTTTCATGAGGGGAGTTTGGGCTCAGTAATCTCGTAGGCCGGTCTCTACATTGAGGATAGCGGACGCCAAGTTCTCCACCATAGTCGGTGTGGCAGTCAGTCATGATCTACTCGATTTGCTTACAAGTGTTTGTTTGTCTCCTGTTTGTTTGTTTGTTTGTCTCCTGTTTATCGCCCTGGAGGGCCGAGCCCTATGGTAGGCGCTACATACAGTAATCTAGCTGGTGAGAATGGAGATGCGTATACGGGACAGATGACGTGTCAGCCCCGAGGGGGCGGAGAGAGCCAGAGGGATCTAGCCATCATGCAGACGAAATGGAGTGAGTGTGTGTGGCGAAGGGGGTGGGTACGGGAGCGAGAGTGGGGGTGAGTGCCGGTGGGTACCATACGTGTCCTCCGCTCCGCCTACCCGGGTCCGCCAGCTTCCGCCGGCGCTTGAGGACACCGGGGGAGTGCCTCCTCCAAGTCGTGCCTTCTGGCCTCTGGAGCGAGGTGTTCGTGGCCTCGCAGGTGAGAGTGGTGGGTTGGTTGGGATGGGGTGGAACAGAGGCGACCATGGGTGTGTGGGGGGATGAGAAGGAGGAGATCGGAGTGGGACGATACAGATGAGAGTGTGCAGCGCAGCGCGGGGGTGAGGACGGTAACGTGCGATATTATCTATGGAAGGAGGATGGTGGGAGTAGCATTTGCTTCGTGCGCCGCGCAGCTTGCAGTGTGGGAGTTCCGTCGACTCTGGTCACCGGATGGCTCGCCCGCCACCTATTTACTTTCGCGTGCGTTGCCCAAGCGCTGTGGGTGGTCGAGCGAGCCCGGATGGACGCCGTCTCGGGGTCTCCATTGTGCGGGTATGTCACGACGTGTTTGCCCTCCCTTGGTATGTATCTATTAGCTCAGTCAGGGGTACGAAACAGGAGACAGGATGCGCGAGGGGGAGGGTTGGGATTTGGGAGGGCGAAAGTTCAGTCCAACTGCATAAGTGTGTCTACCGATTTCCAGCGCGAGGCGGGCAGGCTAGTGGGCGCGTGGTGGAGGAGGTGCGCTGTTGTTGCCGAGCCGGTGCGCAAGGTTGGCGCGGAGATTGTCGGGGTAGTGCTGTGCGATGGCTTGTTTGACGGATTGCAGGGGTTGAGAGACGGCGCGGAGCGTCAGGGGTGTTGTCTTCAGGGTTGTCGAGAGCTCCGAAAGTCTGCCGTAGGCGTTCCGTTGCGTTGATATAGACGAAAAGCTGGGGGAGTGTGTCTGCGTTACTAAGTAAGTACTCGAGCTTTCCTCCTTTCCGCCCGAGCTTCATGTTACAAGTCGTTACTTCCTATGTCATCTTCTTCAATGCTTTGCATGACCTCATCCATTGGAATCTGCGACTCTCTGTGGGAGAGAAGGCTGCATTGGTGCGACATAACTACAAGAGAACAAACCCCGTCGTTTCAACAGCCCCTGCGCTTCCATTTTCCAGAACGACCTCCATCTCCATGGTCACCCTACGACATGGCGTCTTCTCAGTACGTGCTATGGCCTCGTTGGTGTGGGCGGTATCTGCGAAGTCCTTAACCGTCTTTACGGTCCCCAACTTGGTCGCGATGGTGTTGAACCGAGATGCGATGTGAACCTAGACAAGACGTCAAATACCTTCAACCACTGGATTCAATATACAACACTTACACGCTCCATCACGTTCTGCCACAGAAACATCGTGGCAGCAAACACCACCAAGGAATGGACAAGGAATCAAAGAAATGGCGTGAGGGACCACACACGCAATCCCTTAGGTTGGCTGTTTGAGGAGATTTCGCCCTTGTGCCACAATGACACTGTACCCGATAGGACGTTACCGGATGTCCCACTGGCAATGAATGTGCCGTCGTGAGTGTCGGAGGTCTGAACACTGATTAGTAGCGCGTAGATGGAAAATCCCAAGCTACTTACCGCAATCGTTTGTACACGTCCCTCGGCTGCGTGCTCTAATACCTCGAGGGGCGCTCCGGTCGTTCGGTCAAATATGTAGACTTCCCTGTGGGTGCTTCCCCCAACGATGACACGCGATTTCTCGGCGAAGCGCACTTGTCTAGGGTAAAAACCCTTGACTCTTCTGTCCACTGAGAACGTTCGCTTGTGGGTGACCACTTCGCCCAAGTTCCAGAGGTCAAACCCGTTCACGACGTTGTCGATAAGTAGTAGGTGATCGCAATCCGATACAGCTGCGGATCCACTACAGAGAAGCGTGTTAAAGCTTTTGCTTTGGTGAAAATGCGAACAGTATTTGATGCTTACATTGACTGTGCCAAAGGTCGCAAACTCTTTGTCTTCCCGTCGTCGGCACGCAAGACGTACCTAAGATATATCGGTAAGGGTGACACGTCCAATGGCTAGTGAAAACTCACATTGAACCGTCCTCCAGCCCGAACACGAGGATCTGTGCCTTGGAGGCGAAGTGGATGGAATACGGCAACACGCCTATGGTGCAGTTCATCTAGACGCCACTACTTTTGAACAGCTTATGTAATCGGTCACGTGGCGGCAATAGCCAGAGTCGATTTTTGAGGCATGGTCCTGGAGCTGAAAACGGCCAATAGCGGGTGTCTACACATGTATAGGATGTCAAATTGGACCAAATAAAAGGGTCTGAACATCATCATCGACGTACTCCAGCCTCAAGGTGAATGGCACTCCCTTATTGAGGGCAACCAAGTAGGCTTCAACAGTGCACAGACCGACTGGAAGCCATCAATAATATTGTCAAACTGTCCTGCAAGGATTGCTAACCATACTATCTATGCATCTGCTTTGGAACTCGGCAGCAAAGTGAGGAGGGTGTACTAATCCTGATTAGATTGTCAGTATTAGATATTGGCGCTTAACGCATCACATGATTGCATTAGTCATCCATCAGCACGTGTGGCAATAGTGAGAAGATGAACTTCCTCAAAACTGGGAATTTCGACAAACCCTCTTGGGGATTTGTTCAGACAGCGAAAAGGGAGCGATTGGCTAGAGAACTAAGAAATTGGATGTTTATTAAACGCTCCCGAAGCGCTGTACAAAAGTAGTGGTGTCTAGATGAACTGCACCATACGAGGATCCGGTTGAACAAGAGCCGCAAGTCGCATGGAATGCGGTAACACACCTGCGAGGGTTCGGTTGAAAACGAGCCGCAAGTCGTCCGTTTCGTTATATCTGCACATGAGGACATGTCCAGCCCGTGTCCCCGCCACGATATGGATCCCGTCACGGGTGACGTGGTTCGCAAGCGTTAAGATCTCCGCGTCCCGTGGGTTCTTGGACTCAGAGCGAGCGATTCGCCAGAAGCCAGTCTCACTAAAATCAGTCTGATGCAGATAATTGAGCAGCGGCCTTCAAGTATTAAATTGTCATGACTTACATCTTCATCGTTCCGCTTTAGGAAGCGCAAGTATCCCAATGTTGTACCATAGCATATCACTGGCCCGCTGGCGCGTGTTTGTATCCACATCACTTGTGAGATGGGCCCCATCCATTCGTCTCGGTGCTCCGGCACGGGTACATTGTGGAGCGACTTTGTGTTCCAAATCTGCAAGCCGTCCTTGCCTTAGTCGTATGTTAGTGTTCTTCTCAGGTCGATTGACATAGTTAAACTGACCGCCACAAGCAAGGAGATCTCCGCCTGCGGAGAAGTCCAAGGAAGTTGCGCTGTTCCCCAGGTGCCAGGTGATAATTTTACGGTACCGGACCGCATCAGGGGAGCGAGAGGGAGTGAACACAGAAGCAAACATGAGGGCGATGTTGGTGTGCCAGTGTAGGTCTTGGGCGATTGTGTCTATACCCCCGCAACTATATCTTCTTTTCGCTCGACACCCCCGCACCCTATCGAACCTTGCAGTGCTAGCAAGTTGACAAAAACGTTGTGATGATGAACAATGCAGGGAGACAATGAGCGACAATGAGATGAAATGTAAGGACGCCATGAGCACAGCTGCGTATAGGAGTGCACAGCAACCTCGGACGTCGTCATCTCACGCCTTTTGTCTCCTTGAGCTCAGTTCTTGACTGTGTGGCAACCCACCGGCATGTCCAGCGCCTTCTTCGTTTTGTTGGTCATTGACAATAGGACATTGACTAATTATAACTCTCCACCACAGGTATACCCGCCCGTTGCCCAAACTCGTAGCACTCCTATCGCCTGCTCTCATCGCCCACCCTCTCTATCCACTCATCCGCTGTGCGGTTCCATTACTCCATCACCTGAGCCTGGTGCTACAGTGTTATGGCTTCATTCTTCACGCTTCCCCCACTCCCAGCCCCCATCACTCTCCTCACGGCCGAGACCGAACTCAACAACATTGCATTGAACATTTTCCCTGGTATCCACAAGGAGATTACAATCGACAACCCAGCTCCTCGCACTGTTCGGTTTTCGACTCCGACGTTCAACCATTCAACTGGACCTCCTTCCGACTCTCCCTCTTCCGATTCTCCCTCTTCCAACCCTCGGTCACTATCTCCCCAGGATTCGCTATCTGAACCAGAACCGTCATCCGAACAAGAGTTAGCACCTGGGGTGTTCAGCCTCGACCAACCTAAAGATGCTCAATTGGAGGAAGTTGTCATCCCCAAGCCTCCTGGAGAGGCTGGTCGTCCTGGCCACGGTGGATACACCCTGGCAACCACTCTTGGATGGGTCTCTGGTCGATTTGAAAGCTTCAGGGTGAGTTAAGCATTCTCCCCACCTCTCGAGAACGTGCTCACACACCATCTGTATAGGATATTGTACACGAGCTCGTCGATGAGCATCTTGATCTATCCAAGTCATACCAGAGTCAACGCTTATCAAGTTTAAGCCTCGTGCACAAGCAGGTGGGTACATATTTACCTTCTGCAATGGCTTCAAACTGACCCGATCAAAGGTAACTAAACGAGTGCCCGAGCTACGGCGGTACGAAAATGGATGGCCAGCTACCGATGCTATCAGGCTACACCTCAAGAACACCTCGGCGAAGGCTCGTCATAAGGAACTCTGTACAAGAAGCCTTCGTGTCCACTACCGGCGCCCGCGCTCCCGTTCCCGTTCCCACTCCCACTCCCGCTCCCGCTCCCGCTCGCGGTCCCGTTCCCGCTCCCGTTTACACCGCTCGTGGTCCCGTTCCAGCTCGAGTACACGCTCGAGTTCACGCTCACGCTCACGCTCCCGTCCTTCCCATTCACGATCCCATACCTCCCGCTTCCACTCCCCCTCGCTCTCTCGCACAGGTGTCCATCCTCGCACCCGCATTCATTCCCCATCGCCCTCTCCGTTTCACGATACCACTCACACTCTCATTCAATCTCGTTCCGGTCACAGCAACCCCACGCGTCTGAGTTGCAAGCGTCCCTACAGTACATCAGAGACACTCGCTACTGAACCAGATCCGTCCACTGTTACTCCGGTGCACAAGGCTCGCAAGGTTCAGAGGCGTACCTGAGCGTTGTTGTACAGCCGTTTGCATCTGAGCCCGGAATCACGCGTTTCAGGCTTTGTTTATTTGGTTCCTCGCGATTTGGTCCCGAAAAGGCAACCTAGAAGCGCCTGTCTATGCGTCCGCGCCCTGCGCCGGCGTGCTTGCGCGTTGCTCTGGCCTCTTTACCTCCCTGTGTCTCTTTTCTTGAAACCTAGCGTGTCACGGTACCTGAAACTTCCTACGTATCACCTGTCCCACTCTTCCAGCAAGTCGATGGTACCGTGGATCGGTATCTTCAAGGTGGTGGCTGACCCACATCCTCGTTGATGTGTATCCACCGGTATGTGGACGATCAAATACCAATCGACGGGAGTGGTGATGGTCGGAACGGAGCCAGCCGTGCGCATGGAGCGAGACAACTCAGCAAGGTCATGTTTTTCTGTCCTATCTGCGCCTCCAATGCACGGAATCATTGCACTCGATGTCTTTGAGGGCTGCCGCTCTGTCAACAAAGCGGGGGGTGAGAGTGCGACAATGAGCTGGCATGGGCATCTGCGCTGGTGGTGGAATTGTGAGTCGTCTCTTGCCAATGCATGCATACAGACAACGCTCTCCACGATACTCCCGCCATACGCATACCCTCTCCCTCGTAACTCATTACAGCTGCAATCAAGAACAAGCCTGCCATATTCCTCGACGAGCTGCAGCAACATCTCTCTCAGTTCACGTCTCTAGCCACCTTGTCGCACACCCTGCGCGAGCTTGTCCTTCACACGGAAGAAGATCTCGAAGGCTGTTGTGGAGCAGAATGAGCTTCTGCGTTCCACGTGGATTGTGGAGTGGGGGAATTCGCCAGCGGAGTAACTTGTTTGGGTGGATGGGTCGAGCGCGGCCAGTCTAGTCGAAGCATGTCAAGACGTTGATTTTGTCGAAATTAAGACAGGGCCGAGCCCGGTATGTTCGGGTACCTACAGATTCTCATTCCCCTGCGCTGTTGTCATTCGTCTACAGTGCACTTCACACTAGTCTACACGTATTCCCGCTGTAATTGTACATGTCCCCATCCCGGAAGCCACCTCACTCATCGACTCCGAGACTGAGGTATATCCAATGGATTTGCCACAGTCAGTGAGCTTGGAGATCTCGTCCAAATCTCGTCGTGTGTGAACAGGCGCTTCTTGGCTGCCTTTTTGGGACGAAATCGCGAGGAACCAAATAAACAAAGCCTGAAACGCGCGATTCCGGGCTCAGATGCAAACGGCTGTATTGTAATGTTAGCACTCTTTCTATACAAATTGTGATTTGTCAGTCTCAGCCTGTGTGCCTGCATCTGAGGGCTGCCGTTAGGCTCGCGCACGCGAGCAGCGGGTTGGTGGCGGCGATGTCGGCCAGCGCGCGCGTCGATGTGCGTTGCGTGGTGTCTTGTCGGCGGCAGCGCGTGTGTTTCGGTGAGATAATGGGGCGTGTGTCGGTGCAGTTGGTGCGGTTCGCGTTGGTTCACGTTGGCGGCGGTTTGGTACGATGCGCGCCACCCGCGCGTAGCCGCGCGGCGTGCGCATCAATGGGAGGCGGAGATCGAGTGTGCGCGGTGATGTGCATCCACCGTCGCTGGTATGTGCACGCGTCCGTCAGACGCCCGCGCAAGCTCCATGCCCTCGCGCACCGTACATCCTCGTCCCGCACATCCTCGACCCTCGTCCCTCGGCACGCCCCACCGACCCTCGCGATCGTTCCGGCTTCATGTTTAGCTACTCATCCACACACGTTTCTTCTCCTTTTCGCCCCTTCGTATCCCCCATTCCACGGCCTCCATGGTCAGCCACACTCGTTGCCCCGCTCCGCCACTTGTTTCTCTTATCTTTCGGACGCTCGCCATGACACTCAGACTTGTAGACAGGTTTGGGGTGCTCGTTTCGGTCGTAGTAACGCCCTCGCGCGGGCCGCATTTTCATGTATTTAGACTCGACTCGCACTGGTTGCTATCTAGTTCATTTTCCTCGCATTTCTGTGCGTGCGTCGTGTGCTCACTTCTCGACTTCGCCTCTACTCGACCTCATCTCGTATCATCTTGTCTTCGTCGCCCATCGTCATCGCACACGCCGCCTATCGCCCTCGACTATCGCCCGTTGCCCGTTGCCCGTTGCCCGTTGCCCGTTGCCCGTTGCCCATCGCCTTTCGTCCATCGCCTTCGTAGCGCCCGTGCGCACCCCCTCGTCCGCGTCTATCGTCTCTCTGCTTCGCTTCCTCTCCTCTCCTCTCCTCCATGTTCGTGCATTCCGTCCCTTTCCTCCTCCGCGACACCCCCGGACGTTCTGTCCCCTGGTGCTCGTTCCCTCGTCCGACTTCCCGCGTCTCACGCCTATATTACGATTAATGAGGTACGAATGAATCGTTCTTTATGGGGTGGGCTCAGACTGCGACGCGCGACACACGGAAAATGCTAGTCTCTGGGATTTTTGTTACTTTTCACTAGCACAGCCACTTCCCACGCATAGGTTTTCTACTTACTCCCATCACCCTAGCTCTGGGTTAGGGTCCCCCTGTAGGGTTCCACTAGCGCTGGGTTTGCACTGCCACCTGGGCCAGTGCTTCACTCCTGATACACTTTGTAGTGTCTGTTAGTGTCTATATCTATTCAACTAGACTGAGATGGGCGCTCTTTGGGGGCTTCAGTCGGAGTCTATGTGGACTACTACTAGCAATATACTCAGGATTTATCGGAATTGATTCGAATTTTGAAGGGCTGCTTTCAGAAAAGTGAGGCTTCACAAGTTATTAGACGCCCAGTGGCTGTAGCGCCCTGCCCCTGCCTACTACACCCACATCTGCCTACTAGTAAATCAGATCAATTCTCTAAATTGCTGATTATATTCGTGAACCTAGTTCTCATAGTGGTTGGTACGATTATGAAAGAGGTGCTCATTTATACATAGTGGGTGGGGTGTAATGGGGTCTACACATATGGCTCATATGTTGTAACTGCTGGTATAAGCTCAGATGTTGTCGTTTGGGATGTTGTGGGTTTCTGGATACGTATTGACAAGCTTAACCTAACGATGCATATCATGTGATACGGAAGCAGATGCGTGCAATAGGGTGAGTAACACTAGTAGAACACTGTATGGACGGTGTATGGCTAGTTATAAGCTGGTTTCTGAACCAATCACTATATATGTAGATGCATTAGAACACCTCTTTAGGGCTACACAAGGGTATATGTTATGTTATATATTGTGCATTGCAGCTGCTATACTGTAGCAACTACTACTTGGTAGTGCTGACTGGGTTATAGCGCTGTGCCTGGGAATATGCTTATGTAACATGCACCATTCAAACGCCACTTTGAATACGTACTCAGCATAGTTTAAATCATAAGAAACGGACATGAAATGAGCAATAGAGAGTGTAAGCAATGTTCCCAGATGCAGTTGCCTAATATGGTGTGTGAGAAAACTGTTACATAAGCGCCACCAGCGCACTCTCATCACTCTGCCACTGCTCCTCCTCTCTTGGGGGACTCTCATCCACCCTTCACCTCTGTAGCCTGGCTTTTGGCCAAAGTCCAGTGCTTATGAGTGGGAGGATGCCCCCCTACAGTCCCTGTGCTCCTGTACCATGCCTACTTGGTGCACCAATTTAGAGCGGTGGTCTTGAGCCTGGGATGCCTGCGACATTGCCATTTTGGGTGGCTGGGTCGTTGGAGCACAGACTGAGTTCTGTGTGAGATGGATTCAGCTTTCTCTTCAACTCTCTGGTAAGCTTTGGGTGTCTGTGGGTGTCAGATAGGTATGCTTTCATGTATTTGCTCATCTCCATGGTACTTTGACGTCACTGTGCCTCCCTTCCCATGCCTCATCACTCTCAGAACACTGCCAGATTGCTCCCAGGTGTGTGCTCTTTCTGTAGACCCCCCATTCATCCCCCACTTCGCATTTTTCATTCCCCTGTGCACCTACTGATGATGTGGGTTGGCACAGCGCTCATGGGCGTCTATTTCAGAGGCGCCCATTGCGCTGCTACATCCACAAGCCTTGCATGCCATCCATCCCTTTCCCATGCTCTGATTGGCTTCATTTTTGGTAGGTAGGCACTAGTAGCACTGCCCACATGATCTATGTACTTTGTTTCATCATCTTGTGTCATTTGAGCCCATAACAGCATGTTTAGAGCCTGGGAATGGCCACCTAGCCCACCTCAGCGCCTCTGGGCGCCTATTTTCGCACCCAGCCACAGCCACCACTGCCAGCTACTGCAAGCCACACCCAGCCACCTAAAATTGTCATCCACAAGCCCAGCTGCAATCCATCCTCTTTTGGTGGGGCTGTGCTCCCAATCTTTGTCAGCTGCCTCTCCCATGCCTCTCCACCATATATGGACACTGTTTGGCACTATTTACTCTCTCCTGCCCCTGCCACAGCTGCCACAGTGGCTGAAAGTGCAGCTGGGTGCCTATTTTGAACGCTTTTTCAAACTCAGCTCAACTCAGCTGGTACAGCACCTGGGTGGGGAACCCAGGAGCCTTGGGTTCAATCCCTGGTAGTGCCGCTTTTTTCTACATGTGGCTGTGCTATGCAGGCCTGGTTGTAACAATAGGTATTTAGGCTTTGTAAAATCCAATCAATTGTCTAAAATCCTCATTATATTCATGTAACCAGGCACTATAGAGTGTGTTGCTGATGCACTCACAGCTTTGCTTTAAATGCATTAGATGAGGCACAGTATAGATGTTATCACTGGTGCCTACTAACTTTAAATGCTTCTGTGATCTCAGTTCTTATCTGTTGGGGTGATTGTATATGCATCAGAAAGCTATGTAGAAGGCCTACATGACTGCAACCTCTTTGTCTTCTCTAGTTCCCCCTTCAGGTGGTCTAGCTATGTAGAATGATAGTGTGCATTCTGCCTCTATAAAATCAAATACAGCACATAAAATCTTGACTGTATTGAGAAGAGCAGCTATAACACAGGGTGTTGTAAATGTATTGGCTTTTATATGCATAGTAAGCACTTTAGTCCTAGCTTCCACCATGTTTGCACGTCTGCTATATATTCTGTTCTTGGCTGTCTATGGTGATAAGGTTTAGTATAGCTTATTAAGGTCTCTCATAGATTCTCATATTCCATATCTCATTAATCGTTTTCTGCCAGTAATGGCCCACTCCTACCAAGTGGACTCGACCTCGGCCCTCACCCCTTGCGACTCTTACCGGAGTTAGCATCACATCAGTGGTGAAGGCTGCGAAAAGGCGCGGAGTGCTCCGCGGTGCGTCCGCATGCGTCGCATCTTGACAGGCAGGCTGGTGTGTACCCGGAACTTGTGGGCGAGTTCGAGGATGGGAAGGAGGCGCAGGTCGAGCGGGCGGAGGTGCAGCGCTACAGGGAAGCGGCGGACGATCTCACACGCGGTGTCGAGAAGGGTGCCGTACAATGGCGACGTGTGCATAGCTGCTGCCACCAGGGGAATGTACAGGTCTTGCGTGCGAGTCCGTCGAGGATGAAAGTTGGTCCCCCTGGAGAGGCTGAACGAGTGCACAGAGCACAAGGGCGAGGAAGAAAGAAGATGCAGTCAGCGACGTGCCGGGAAAGCTCCGTGTGGAGCACATTGCCGCATTGCCATGGGCACTAATGGAGTGCTGGCAGCTGCACCCAGGCAGAATGAACAAGCCGGGGAGCACCGCAGCACTTTCACATTGATAGTAACGGAAGCAAATCGTGTTTGACAGCTCTAAATGGCTGAAGCACGAGCTTCTGAGGCACTTGACATCGACTTGACATCGACTTGACAGTTCCATGTTCTTTGCCAGCGAATAAGAGATGACACCATACAATTTGCATTCTATAAGCGGCCATCATGTAGACAAACAGGTAGCTAAAACGGCATTTCCGGCTCCTCCCTATCCGAGATCCGAATGACATGAGTTTCAGGACGACCGAGAGCCTCTGTACTAGTCTGAAAATATTGTCAATGCTTTGAGACGACATGGATAGAAAAAGAAAACTCACCGCGCACTGAGGAAGGGGCAGGCCCCTGAAGAATAGTCATTAAAATCTCGATTATTATGTCATCCCTATGTTGCAGGGCCGTAGTGAAGTCCCCCATGGCCGTAAGAGTCCGGACGAGAACGTCCAGGACACGGGCAAAGTCGGGAATGGCCGGAATGGGGACTACGGGCTCCGGAATGGGGTCGACGGGCTCCGGAATGGGGTCGACGGGCTCCGGAATGGGGTCGACGGGTTCCAGGTCCCCGAACGCAGACCCGTAAGTCCGGACGGGGCTCTTTTGAGTCGAGCTCCTATGGTGGGGCGGGGGGCTCAAAGGTGTGATGACCGCGGGCTCCTGGTCGTCCTCAGGGGGGCCGCCGGGGGCCTGGGTGAGGGTGGCGCCATTCTCCACCATGGACCGCTCGGGGAGACCGTCGTCGAGGGGGAACATCTAAGTGACAAATAAGTATCGGAGGACAGGAAGACCGACGCATGAAACTCTCGACGAAAGTTCGATTTTCCCAGATGTAGAGCCGAGGGTAAGAGTCCTCGCTGTCTTTGCGCGGGCTGGGCATCGTCGTGTACGGAGGGTGCGTGTAACGAGGGGTGAGCGGAGAACGCATCGCCGCCCTTGACAGCTCTTATGATACTCGCTAACACTGATGCCGTGTGCGATATCAGTCTTCCCTTCCTTCGCGCCGCAATGCTATACGTGTCAAAGCTTCATCCCCGAGCTTCGGGCATTTGTCGGATCCGCTTCCCCTCGTGCCCACCCTATGGGAGCGCGTCAAATCGCGCCCCTTGTCGTCCTGCGCGGTTTCAACTACGCGCGAACTGGCTTTCCACCGAAGTCGTCTGCTCTTCAAGTTCCCAACATACAAGGAATTGTGGCGCCAACTGCACGAGCAATGCAGCGGAGCGAAGGAAAGCTGCCGAGAGCGGGCGCCATCCAAAAGTAGCTCATGGTGTTACGGCCTCCAGGTCTTGGCCCGACCGCGCGTGTCAGAGCTCGGATGCCAATCATCAAACAATCAGCATCTGAATTCATGCAACGAGAGCATGAGATACAGACACCGTTGCCCGCGCTCATGCTGTGAGTGTCCCGTCGTCCGATGGGCTGGGCAGGAGGAAACGCCGGAGGAAGAGTACTAAGAAGGCACCGCCAATCGATGACTAGTGGAGATGTGGAGAAACGGACGGCCGAGCGCAGGTTTTTGAACCGCCGTGAGCGGAACGGAGAGTTGAAGGAGGAGCCAGACCCACTAGGCAAGCCGCGCCCCGGACGCGATACAGGGGAAGGAGGGGCTGAGGTTTTCCGGAAACCAGAGGCGAGGTGGTACAACCACACTCTGTCCTCAAATGAGTCGGCAGTTGTTGTTCTGAGACGGTCGGAGGGAGATGGGCAGAGATACCAGAAGCACTTGCCACTGGCTGGAGGGATACAACCGTACGACTGGCGCACTGCAAGATTGTTGAGTACGTCATGTGGTGCAGGGCGCGAGTAGTCGTACCGTGATCGTGTCGATGAAGTTGTTAAGAGACCAGCGAGAGTAAAACTCTGCGCTTGTGGCCATGAGTGCGGCGAGTGCCCGCGAGAGACCAGCAAGAGTAAAATCTGCGCTTGTGGCCATGTGGTGGTCGAGAGCCAATGTGTACAGGCGCCTGTGTGTGATGGCGGGTTGAGCGCGGTCCAGCGGGCGCCCAATGTCCGCGCTCAACCCGCCATCACGCGCAGGCGCCTGTACACATTGGCTCTCGACCACCACATGGCCACAAGCGCAGATTTTTACTCTTGCTGGTCTCTCGCGGGCACTCGCCGCACTCATGGCCACAAGCTCAGAGTTTTACTCTCGCTGGTCTCTTAACAACTTCATCGACACGATCACGGTACGACTACTCGCGCCCTGCACCACATGACGTACTCAACAATCTTGCAGTGCACCGGTTATGCGTCGTGCGGTTCGCATTCTCATGCTGGGTAGGTGTTCATCATAGTCGAGTGGCACATGAACAACGTATTTCGGGTTCACGGTCGTCACGGTGCACAATGTGCTCACACCCATGCCCCTCGCACGCGCGGGTGCGGTGGCGGCGTTCCGAAGGACACGCAGTCCACGCCTGTAGAGGAGACGTGGCGTGCGGATCGCGAGGTGCGCGAGCGCGAGTTCGAGCGTACACGCATAGACTCCACCCTACGTTTCGACACGTTCACCATATTGCGCCCGCGACGTGTGTGCATGCAGCTCGTCGTATGCACTCGTTTATTGGAGCGTGGTTGAAAGGGAGCGCGCTCGCGCGGCGACGCTTGTACAAACTCAAGCTTTGCTAATACATAAAATCCTTAGAATCCCTGCCGTCTGTCCCATGCCTTCTTCACCTCCATGAGCTGGCGCCAACTCCTCATCTTCTTCCTGTGGAGGCGCAAAAAGGCGGGGTAAACCGGACATAACTCCCCTTGATGCTCATTGAAAGCTATCGCCACTCTAACCTCAAGTAAGTCAGATAGATCAAAGCTCATAACAATGTACTGACCGCTCGAGGACTTCGTCCGCCATGACAGCGTCTCCATGGCGCATATTGACGACAAATTTCTTTGACTTGCTCAAACGCATCACTAAGGCGTCTCCGTACATTGGCCATGGGGTGACGCAAGAGGGGGGCGGTTGAAGCGACTGAACTCGCCTCGTCGATCCGGAAGAATACAACATACGAGCTGGTCCGCTCTCTTCCACAACGTCAACGATGCAGTCGTGGACGCCACATTGAGGGGCCCTCTCGTCGTCGAGAACGCTCTCAGCGAACGGGTAACGTCGTTTCCCGTCACACCGAGTCAGAACGCCGACGGGCCGAGATCGGGATTCGAGGCGCCGTACAGCCTCCCTTTGACAGGCAATGGAACGCCTGCCGCAAGGTGAGTGGGACTCCTACACCTGCGAGTTCTGTACTCACCTTTCGGCTAGGGGCGAAGTACCTACGGCTACCAGGCATGGAGATGGGTCGATAAATGCGTCCTGCACGTGCGAACGAGTTCACAAGGTTTGGAGATAGGAATACGTGTCCAGCACGTAGTTGAGGGGTAGGATAACTGTCAGGGAGGCGATGACGAGTGACGAGGGCGGGCGACAAGGGTGGGCGACGAGGGTGGATGGTTAAGTGTGGTCTGTCTCATCGCACACACGTATCTCTGCAGGAGCGTGCACAATAAAATAGGAGCTTCCATTCCATGGTGCGCAGCCCCTCAAGTCCACCGATGACAGTTATAACAATAACTATCAATTGTCTATTCACTGAGGAGTTGGCGCTCAACGCCAGATGATCATCCGTGCTGAGCGACCATCGGCAGTGGACGACCGGCAGCGGGCGACCTCCAGCGGGCGACCGCCACCAGCTGACGACCATTCAAAGTGACCAGGTAACGTCTCGTATTGTTCAGCATCACAATAACTCAAGTCAAGTACCCAGATATACCTCAACGACGCAATCGTGCTGTATATTAACCATCAGTGGTGCGGAAACCGCAATACCATCTTTCCCTCGACTGGCTTGAGACTACATCATTACTCCTCATCTCCGCCTGCGCGATCATAGGGTGCTGTTGAACACGCCCAGTTCCCGCTCGCTCCACACCCCTTGACTAGCTTGCTTCACTTTCTTTGACTGACCCGGTCTTTCTTCACCGGTCATCCGTCTTTCTTCATGGCTTCACATCGCCGTAATGTCGTTCCCCCACTACCTGCCGATTTCGCTTCCACGATGCACATGGAAGACAGCGACTCAGAATACGAAAGCGCGTGAAGCACTTTGAATCGGATACCGATGACCCTCTCGACGATTCACAGTCCCCCATGCCTTCGCCGCCTCCACAGTCTACTGTTTCTCCATCTCCTCCTCCGTTTATCATTCCTCCTCCTCCTCCTCCTCCTCCTCCTCCACCTCCGCCTACCATTCCTCCGCCGCCTACAATCCCGTTGCCACGTGTCATTCCTCCTCCGCTTCCGCCGCCCATTATTCCTCCCCTCCTCCTCCACCGCCTTCTTTCCCTTTCATCTCTCGACATTCATTTTCTCCCTCACTTTCCAACGTACCTATGATTGCCATCCCTTCAGTACCTACCATCCTTCCGCTTCCAAATACGCCTCCATTCTTTGCAGTACCACGCGGCTCTCTTCTTCAACACCCGCCTGCCCTCAATCAGTGCCACAGGCTTGTCGCCCAACAATGCCTTTCTTTCACTCTTCCCCTCAGCGGCCCCTTCCCACTGTACCGCTTTCACGCTCCCTGCCACCCCGCCTTCCGCCTCGTCCACGCTCCCCGCAACCCACGATCTAAGGCTGTTTGCAGCTCCGGCTCACTTCGCGGGTAAACCCGCAATGATCCGGAGCCGTGAGCCGGGGATCATGAGCCGGGCGGCTCCAGCTCTCTCCGGCTCCGGCTCTCAGCGGCTCCGGATCAAGGGGGCTGAAAATTGGCGGATCTGCGGCTCGATCCACGGGTTATCCGCAGATTCTCGCAAAATATGTGTATTTATACTATCAAAGATATGTCATTCGAAAGCCATTTGAAGCAGCTTTCTAACGATATAACCTATGTGTGAATTGGTTCAAAAGTGACTGAGATATTTATACAATACTATTGTCTGTCATTTTGAGAGCTTTTGGCGCCTGCATCCGGCGTCTGCACGCGGGAATCCATCCGATCGGGCAATGTTCGGAATCGAACGCGGGTCTCGCGCGTCACTTGCTCGCCGTCATCCCGCCTCCTCTCCTCATTCCTCCTCCGCTTGCCTTCCACCCTCCGTCCGCGCGGCGTCGTCGCGTAGCGCGCGGCCATCCTCAAGCCCAGGAGCTGTGCGTGGGGTCGCGGTGAGCTCCCCGGCCCGATCTCTCTGGTGAGTCTTCCCGCGTCCTTGCTCGTCTCGCGCTCACCCTCGCGTTTCCCTTGTCCGATCCCCACTTTTCCCCGCCTTGCCCTCGTCCTCCGCCTCCCTCGTGCCGCGCTTTGCCCTCTGCCTCCTCCGCCTCGCGTCATTTCTCCGCCTGCGCTGCCGTTCCCCTCCTCCACCACGTCCTTCTGTCACCCACCACCACATCCGCGTCGTTCTCAGCGCCATGGTCTCACATCTCGCCCGCACCATGTGTCTTGCCCGCGTCGTCCTCATCCGCATTGCCCCTGCCCTCGCCCCATCACCCACGTCCTCCGCCTGCCATGTGTTCCTCTGCCCACATGGTGTCATCGCGCTCGTGCGCGCGGCCGTTCTGTGGTCCGGTGGCTCCCCGGCCCAATTACCCTGGTGAGTACTCCCCCGCCCTCTCTGCTGCCCGCGTGGTCTCCCCCTCCCCCTCCTCGCACTGGCAACCCCCGCCAACCCGCTCCCTGGACGACCCTCGCCCCCATCCTTGTCCTTGTCCTCTCTGCCCAGCCTCACCCTCCCCACCTCGTCCTCGCCGCCCACCCAGTTGGCCCGCCTTGGCCGTCTCGCCCTCACCCGCTTCCCTGCGTCTCCCGCGTCGACCCCGCGTCTCCCTCGTCCACGTCCTGCCTCTCCGTGTTGCCCTCGTCCGCGTCGCCTGCCCCCGCGTCTCACCCACTGCGCCTTCGTCTCGCCCCCGCGTCGCCCACCACGCCCTCGTCCACGCAGCCCTCGTCTGGCGAACTCACCTGTACCGCCCTCGCATCGCCCTCATCCTCTCCGCATCGCCATCGCCCGCGTCGCACACCTTGCCTGTGTCGCCCATCACGCCGTCGCCCGCACTCGCAGCCCCACGCATCGCGTCCTGTCCCCCATCTGCCCCTCGTCACCCGATCCTCCATCCACACGGCATCATCGCGCTCCCGCACGGCCGTTCTGTGGGATAGCGGTGAGCTCCCGCGGTTCCGATCTCCCTAGGTCAGCACTCCCCTACCCCTTTGCTCCCTGCATCCCCCAACCTCCGCTGACCCCCTCCCTTGTCCTTACCCTCGCCCTTGCCCACGTTGCTCGCCACCTCGCCCCGTCACCCTCTACGCCCTCTTGCCTCCGCATCTCCCGCGTCGCCCACCCACGGCGTCTGCGTCGTCCACGCCTCCACCCTCTCGCGTCGCCCGCGCCACACCCCTTGCCCCCCGCGTCAACCGCGTCTCGCCCTCACCCGTACCCCCTCGTCTGCGTCGCCCGTCTACCATTCCCGCGTTGTCCATGACACCCACCTGCCCGCGCGTCGCCCGCCCTTGCCCGCACGCCTCGCGCCCGCATCGCCAGCATTTCCCGCGTCACCCACTACCTCACCCGTGGCACACTTCGCCCGTGTCACTCACACTCACCTCACCTTCCTACTCCAGTGTCGCCCACGTCACCAACCTGCCCCACGTCTCCTGCACGGTCCCCACAACTCCCGCGTTCTCTGCGTCGCCGACCACAGCCTCGTCCGCGCCCTCATCCATGTCGCCCGCCCCCGCGCCTTGCGCCCACGTCGCCCCCGTCATCCCCACGCCCGCGTCATCTTCCACGCCCTCGCCTTGCACACACGTCGCGCCCACGTCACGGTCCACCACGTCCCCCGCGTCTCGCCTCTCTTGTCCACATCGCCCATCCCCACGCATCCCCCACCTCCCCCACCGCGCCTTCGCCTTGTCCCCACCTAGCCTGTATTGATAGTACATTAGCTTAAACATACTATCAATATATCTTTTGAAAGATACATTACATGTGTGGATCTGTGGGTGGATCCACGGATGAGCCGGAGTCGGAGCCGCGGCTCCGGCTCTTCCAGCGGCTCTGATCCATGCGGATCTGGATCAAGCCCCCGGAAGTCACCTGATCCGTGGGTTCGGATCCGGATCATCCGTGGATCGAGCCGCAAACAGCCTTACCACGATCCCTCCTCGACCGCACACCGTAGGAACTCAGGCTCTGAGGCATCCACGCTCGTCAACTTCGTCTGCAGCGTCCGCCTCCTTCGTACGCACAGCCTCCAAGTTGTCGCCCATGTCTTTGTCGGTTTCCCAAACTGGGTCACCTGACGCTTCTCTCCCGGTCTCTCATTTGATAACGACACCCTCCAGCCATACTGGTTGGATTGGTTTCACGAGGGCAGCGAGCTTCCTCCCAGGAGATGATTCTTGGAGCCCCGTACCGCCCTATTCTGGGCGCGGATCACTTGAATGCACCCCCGCACCTTCCTACTCCTTCGATCCTCCCGTTGGTCACGAAGCGCCTTTGCAATCGCTGACGCCATTTGGGCTCCCCGGTACGCTTGGCCTCACAACCTGCCCTGCCCCCGTTATACCGCAAGCTTTGGTGTCCAGCCTGTCCTCAGGCACGGATGCCAACGGCGCCAACGATCGTACTCCCCGAGCCTCCGAACTGAACCCCGATGCTCGATACCCTCCGGAGCAAGCAGTCGCAAGCACCTTGTGTGTCATCGACGTCGACATGGAGAATGAAGTTGCACCAGTCGTATGTTCAGTTGCACTACTGAGATGCACGACATTTTGACTCACAGTATTCTAGGCCACCTCTCTCAGGAAGTGCGTGGAACATTCCTCTGCGTCTGAGTACGATAGGTCCGTGCGACCAAGACTTCAGGGCCCGAATTTTGCCGGGCAGAGCTCGCATATCGGGCATCTGAGGAACAACAACCGGTGGTTACAAGAGGCAAGTCTCTAATTTTTCAGTAATATCCCATAAATCTCACTTTCTACGATCCTAGAAATCGGCCCAGATGCGGTCAAGGCTCGTACAACATGCCGCCTCTACCAGGCAGATCGTCTCAGATCTGGAAGCCCGGATCAATGCCAATGAGCTATCATGACTATCGGCAGAGGAGAAGGCCCGGGAGCTCCTCGCTACGCAAGAAGAGCAGTTTAGATTAGCCTCGGAAGAGCGCCAGCGTCTGCTCGAAGATGGAGGAGAGGAAATCGAACGTCAGCGCCAGAAGATTGCCCAGTTGGAGCGGACCGTCCGCGACCAAGAAACCGCGATGCAAGTCGACGCGGATTCTCGTGTCACGCAAGAGCAAGATAGGACGCAGCGCGAACAGGAGAGACAAGCGCAGGAAGCACGTCTCCAACGGTTTGAACGTCAGACCGAAGGCATGAGAAGCCTCATTGAAACCCTGGAGAGAAAGTCGGAAGACGCAAGAGTAGCAAGGGATGAGGCGTTGGCAAGTGTTCAACAAGAGAGAGCGGCGGCAGCGGAAGCTGCACAACAAGAGCGGGAGGCGGTGGCGGAGACCTTTCGACGGGAGAAGGAGGCGGCGGAGGAGGCCTTTCGACGAGAGAAGGAGGCAGCGGCAGAAGTGGCTCAAACCTTAAGGGAGCAGATGGCGGCTGCACAACGAGCCACAGAGGAAGAGCGCATCAAGCAGCGGAAGCTTATTGAAGAATTCGCTCTCGAGTGCACACAAGCCCATGAACGCGCACAAGCCCACGAACGCGCACAAGCCCACAAACGCGCACAAGCCCACAAACGCGCACAAGCCCACAAACGCGCACAAGCCACCGAGCCTGCCCCCGGGATGCCAAGTCTCCACGTCCCACGAAACTGTCATGCACCTGTATCACCCACTCCTCATGCTCGTCGCGCTCCGGTAGCAACAAACATTGTGCACATCCCCTCGCAACTGTCCAGTTCTCGTACAGTGCTGCGGCCTCGCGCTTTTCTCGCTTCCCGATCCCCGTTACCCCTGACCCCTACAGCAGTCAGTCGTACAGCTCTTTACGCTAATTCCTCAGTCCATCGGGTTTCTCCCTTGCGCATTACGTCGTTCACTCAAACTCACACCGTACGTCGTTTATAGAGTCTGGCGGTTTGTACGCTCACGTCAAGTCTTAGACCGATTCCTGCTGGCGTTCAGCCGTGACCGTTCCACGTCTTCAAGGATTCTCCTCTGAGCCAGATGCGATCACAACTGGGCACGACGCTCCCCCATCCCACAGCGTTGGTATGTCCCATGAGCTGGTCCTCGCGGATGCCCCTGATAGAAGCAAAGGAGCTGCAAATTCCGTTGCCCCTTCGTCAACTTCCGGAGCTTTTCAGTCTCGACGACGAAAACAACGTGATAAGAAGGCCAAACGAACCCCTGCTGCTGTGACCACGGAGGTCGACGACGACGAAGAGATGATAGACGATGCTGAACCCCCCCTCGACAAAGACCTTCACAGGCAGTACCTGGTAAGCGGTCTTCAGAAGAGTGCTTGCCGCTGTCTCATCGTGTTGCAGAGACTTTGTTGCATCGTCTGGAAAGAATTTGGTATCCAAGAGGACATGGCCTGGCACGCTCAGAGCTGCGCCCCAGCAGATCGTGTGCGAGCCTTCGAGCACGATCAGTCTTGCCCTGGACCCGATCTCGCCGCTCCGCAATTCTGGTTAGGTACCAACCCGAAGCCCATTTCAGCCCTCTGGAACGAGCAAATCTTCGAGGCTATGTTGGAACGCTTTCAAGAGCTGTGTAGTGGTCATCAGCCGATACTTCCTAGCGACGACGAGTCGTATCTCGTTGGCCGCATAACTTCCAAGTTCGGACGTGGCCTGGGGCTTTGGCGCAAGGGACAGCCACAGGGCGATGAATCTTATGATGACGCCTTCGCCTGTCTCAGTGAAAGCGAGAAGACTCGATTGAAGCAAGCCCGAGCCAACACTAGACGGCAAACGGTATGTATTCCGGCTCGTCAGGTCGCCCGCTTACTAACGGGAATAAAGCGTCACCATCAGCGAGTCAATGCTACCATTGGCAATGAGCACGACCCCACAGCAGAGGAGCCCCGCCCTGGATACTACTCGGCGGTCCGATTTGTTCTCGAGTGGGGCGGTCTGGGGTACGGCAGCTCTGACGAATCAGATGTCAACATGGATGGGCGTGCAGTCCTGTTGAGTCACGTACCTGCCTGGCGCGCCAAGTGGGCAAGAGTTGTCTTCGGTTATGCTGACAGCGACCACCTCGATAACCGTTGAACAACCTTTACGCAGGGCGCGCAGCCGTTGAGACGGTTTGTGGGCCATACCAGCAGCAAGCGCCTCCCGCCAGGCAACCTCCCCCTCTGGTTTTACGATGCGAAATGGTATGCAGCGTTGTCTCTGGCAGAGAAGAGGCGTCTTAGTGCTACTAATGAAACAATGCCTTTCCCTTTTGACGAACTGTTGTATTCACCCTAGCTTCCTCTTCTCGCCCCCCTCGTCATTCCTTTACATTCCATAGCTCTTCTCATATCAGATACCATATGAAAATGCGTGGTTATCCCCCGTCAATCATTTTATACACCCATCCACATGGTGTGGCATGAGTCCGTCGCCTGCCTCCCGACGTTCTCCGGCTTTCTTCTCTTCTCGTCATTGCCTCATCAATGTCCCGTGCAATAAAGCACCACTCACCCGCCCCCACCCTCCATAATGCGCGCGCCGACATCTTGTGCACGGCAGAAGACAACCGGTTTTGCCTTATTGAAGCAGTCTCGTTCCAACGGCACCACCCCGCCGGTGTTCTAAGTAGCGCGGCTATTCGGCTGTCTGGGAATTGGAGTCGTGAACGAAGACCAGCCGATACGGCGTACCCTTAGGTGATACAAATTTGGCTCGGCATCAACTGATGAGAAATTTTGAGCGCAACAGCCCTGACTTGACCACTATGTCTAGATCAAGCCTCGCCGGTCCCCGTGGAGGGTTCCTTTAGTGTGCGAGGGCCGCGAGTGCTCTTGAAGTGAAGACGCGTGGGCGTAACGGGACGTGTGGCGAAAATGGCTTTCTAGGGTATACGCGTACGTGTTATCCGAAGGCCAAGACCCCCCGACCTATCATGTGGAACTCGTCCGGCTGGAGGACGAGCGGCAGTGTGCCAGTTCGATCGCCTGACGTCATATAGGTTTTGCGGGGGTGGCTGTGCTCGAGGACGTCCGGACTGAAGCACTGGACGCTCCGGGATCCCGATCGCTGATACGGAACAGGCACAGACCGGGGGCGCATGCGCGCACCCATTGACCTATGCAGGAACACCACGCGTGTCCATGGACGTCGGGCGGCACACAATGCGTGGCCACGCACGTCCGCCACCCGGCACTTCGCCTGTCGCCCGTCCAGGAACTCGACTCGCGAACCAAGACCGAAGCACAAGGGCAACAAAATATATTCAAAGGAAGTGCTAAGGTGGTAGATACAACCCTGATCGCTAACTACTGAGACAATTACTTAGCTTCCTCGTTCTGCGGTGCTATAAGCCGTCTACGTAAGCGCAATAAGTGCGATGGCTGCGCTGTTTAGTAGCAATGCAAAGAAGAAAATTACCGCGTCGTCTGCGCGTTTTGTAAGTTACTATGTAGCACTGCTAATCTACCTCGAATGCGGCCCTACTCCGAGACCAGTCTTTGTTGCAGAGGGCGCGCCACGCCGCGCCATTCCAGCCAGTCGCGTGGTGGCTGAGTCCGATGAAATCCGCGAGCTCCTTGCCTTTTCTGCATCTGAATGTCAGAGAGTAATGAAGAAGGATGGATTGCGATAACGTACATGCGAGCGATGTGTTCAGGGACCACGTCTGGACGTTTTTCCTTCTTGTTCCTCGACCCCTTGCCGCCGTGGGGCTGGTCGTGTTGCAAACGTTAGACACGCTCAGATATGGGGACTGTAGTACGACTTACTCTGTGGAATCCGAGCGCCGTGCCTTTCTGTATGTCGAAACGACATGCACCTGGGCGGAATGTCGCACTAATTCCGCACTTGGTGACTTCGACGCAAGCCCCGAGGCCGTCTCGGAGCGCCTGCACCAAGCACAGAGGTTAGCGGCGCGCGATAGAAGTGAGAACGGCTCACCTCGATGAGGTCCTTGCGTGGTACGGGACCCGACACAGGTCCGCGCATGATTAGGTACAAGGTCTGTGAACGGAGGTCAGAAGGGGACAGGAGAGAGGAGCGGGGCGACACACGGCGCGGTGCTCTTGAAGCATTGCGGGCATATTGATAGGAAGCGGTAGCAGCGGACGCGGAGGACGAGTGAGGGATATGGAGGAGGAGAGGTGGAGGCGGAGCGAGGCAGAAGGCGCTGGGGTCGCGTGAGACGCGACTCCGAAAAACTCGGGATGCGATCGACACAGACGCGCGTCCCTCGCACAGGTCGCGAGTTTGATACCGACGTTGGCCACAATGTTTTTCGGGCGGGTCACATGATGAGATGCACGAGTGCGCCGCGTCTCGCTTGTTGATGAGACGCGACTCGTGTCACGTCCAACACGGACGTGTTCTCCCTCTCTTGACCACCACAGCACGGACGTGTTCTCCTTCTCTCACCACCGGGGCAAAGAGTGCGGTTATACCCGCTCTGCCTTCGCTCACCCCTGTCCATCTCACCCAAAACAAGTCCAACACGGTTCGGCGCAACATGTGGGTTGTTATACTGCTGATTCTCGCACCTGTGTCTTATGTTCTGCCCTTCAGAATCTCTACATCTTGCTGCCAACTTAGCTCTAAAAACGTTTTGTTGATCTTGGTGGGTACCTACGTCTCTAGTCTTCTACTTCCCCCGTCTACCAATTACCCAGTTCTAGTTACGCCTGGCATCTTTTTCCTTCATACCTATTATCATTTGTACTGACGAAATGCTTGTTTGTTATCACAGACGACCGAAGCTACTTTGCCATGGCTCATATACAGTACGTGTACATCCTGCCATCAATGATACGAGTACACTGATATCCCGCCAGCCCTGTTAAGACGTATAGATTTGAGGGGCATGTTTATGTTGCTATCAACCCTTCCCCCATCGATTGGCTCCCAGGCATCCCTATCAGCGACCCTCAGAACAACTTGGACTGTCGGGATATGCGCAAGGCGTTGTGGGCTGTCGACCAAGCCCCGGAGATGGCGTACATGCTACGCACCAGTGTCCAAAACGCTCCCTTCCTCTCCCGCCTGTATATCGACAATAAACAACCCCCTCTAATACAGGGAGATGGTGGATGGTTGCTCACACGGGAGCTTCGCGACTCGTGGAAAGACTTAGAAGAGATACTCTTTTTCACCTATCATCATCTCCGCGGCCTTACGTTACATCTTGCAGCAGCCAAGTTCCCATTCGACTCCGAATGGTTCCTTCCTCGAGATCAAGGCTATGAGGCGGTCTACAGTTCTCGTCCGGCTGCCATACATGCCATGTGGAAATCACGGGACGCGCTTCTTCTCCTCGCCGCCCGGTGTAGCATGACGATTGCCCTCACAAACATGCTCCCCGAAGAGACACCTCCAAGATGGCAGCGCGTGCTCCGTGAGCGTGGAATCGACCTCGCGTGGATTGACGAGTTCTCCCGTTCACCAATCGCCGATCTGTCTCTTGGAAAACGTGTAGGCACGTTCATGGACCCTACGTTCACTCGCTGGATGAACCATATCCCATGCATGATCAAGGCCAACCTCCCCATTACGATTAATGAGGTACGAATGAATCGTTCTTTATGGGGTGGGCTCAGACTGCGACGCGCGACACACGGAAAATGCTAGTCTCTGGGATTTTTGTTACTTTTTAATAGCACAGCCACTTCCCACGCATAGGTTTTCTACTTACTCCCATCACCCTAGCTCTGGGTTAGGGTCCCCCTGTAGGGTTCCACTAGCGCTGGGTTTGCACTGCCACCTGGGACCAGCGCTTCACTCCTTTCTACACTTTGTAGTGCCTATTAGTGTCTATACCTATTCAACTAGACTGAGATGGGCGCTCTTTGGAGGCTTCAGTCAGACTCTATGTGGACTACTACTATGAATATACTCAAGATTTATCGGAATTGATTCAATTTTTGAAGGGCTGCTTTCAGAAAAGTGAGGCTTCCACAAGTTATTTGACGCCCAGTGGCTGTAGTGCCCTGCCCCTGCCTACTACACCCACATCTGCCTACTAGTAAATCAGATCAATTCCCTAAAATGCTGATTATATTTGTGAACCTAGTCCTCATAGTGGTTGGTACGATTATGAAAGAGTTGCTCATTTATACATAGTGGGTGGGGTTTAATAGGGTCTACGACATATAGCTCATATGTTGTAACTGCTGTTATAAGCTCAGATTGTGTCTGTTTGGGATGATTAGGGATTCGTTAGATGCACATTAATAATGCGGATCCGATGGTGTATGTCACGTGATACAGGACACAGATGTGGTGGAATGGTTCTAGTAACACTACTAGAGCACCACTTGTACAGTGTATGGCCAGTTATAAGCTGCTTTCTGATTCAATGACTACATATGTAGGTGCATTAGAACACTTGTCAGAAAGGTCACCAGGTGGTATTTGTCATGATATGTCTTGTGTATTGCAGCTGCTATATTGCAGCAACTGGTACTAGGTAGTGTTACTGTGTTATAGCGCTGTGCCTGGTAATATGCTTATGTAACATACACCATTGGAAAACCACCACATGGGGGTACTAAATGTAGTTTGAATCATAGAAAACGGACTTGAAATGAGCAATAGGGAGTCTTGTCAGTGAATGTAATGGTAGTTGCCTACTATGGTATATGCCTAAGCCCCTACAGCATGCAATTCCTCTAGTCAGTTCCCTAAAATGCTGTTTATATTCATGAGCATTCTGCCATTGGTTTGCATTACTATTGTCTAAGAAGCACTCAAAACCATTCAGTATTGGAGGTATAGGAGTAGTTCCAGCATATAGGTCATATGTTCAAACCTCTGTTGTAAGCTCAAATGTGGTCTGTTTGACACAATCTCAGCTATGACAGGTGCATAATGTGATGGTGTATATAGTTGTATACATGTAATGTGACCAGAAGGACCTATAAGTTATAGTCTAGGCCATCTCACTGGCTGCACAAGCTATATGTTCAGTGGCCTCTGTATCTGTCAGTTTTTATTCAAATTGTACACTATAGAATGTGCCAGAATGCCTTCTGTATTTGGTGTAGATGTTCCAGCTCCCTTCAAATTCTAAGATGTCTGCAGTGTTTTGTAAGTCTGCCTGGTTTGAGCTAAAGATACACTAAGATGGCCAATATATTGGTTGTTTGCTATGATTTTGATACAATTTTTCACCCATTGTAATGGGGCATGTACCCAGATGCCAAAAATCAATGTGTTTCTTCTAGTTGTTCTCATGCTGGAAATCTGACCGACTCTACCTGTACATATATTGAAGTTGCTATATCTCAAGCAGTTCTTGGACGCATCTCACAAAACTTGGTGCGTCCTAATGTGTGTTTCAATACGCATCTAAAACACCCAAGTTTGCTGTCTAATGTTCTGGTACGCCTGTTTCGATTTCCCAGCGACTCGGCCCAGGCATTCATTGAAGTTGCTATATCTCAGGCAGTTCTTGAACGCATCTCTCCAACTTTGCTGTGTCGTAATGTGCGCTTCAATGCGCACCTATCGCGCCCAAGTGCGCTGTCTAATATGCCAGTATGACGGTTTCGATTTCTGGCCGAGTGAACCGAATGAGGTGTTATGTACGCTGTATCTCAGTCATTTTTCGTCCGATTTGGACCAAACAAAGTGATTGGATTTCGACGGTCTGGGCGTATATACTTGCTCATTTGCGCATAGTTTCGTCGCCCTGTTAAAATTCTCGAAATCTGGGCCAAGTTGACTGAGTGAGATGTTGTACATGCTCTATCTCTGTCAGTTTTGGGTCGTTTGATATGAAACAAGATGTGTTCGATTTCTATTGTCTGGGTGTACTCACATGCCAAATATCGTCTGATTTCGTGGTCTTCTTCCTGTTCTGCAAGCCAGCTAGAGAAGTGCGCTCTTATGGGCGCTTATGGGCGCTTAAACGGGCGTAGATCTGCAGGACCTTATCTCTGCCCATCTCTCTGTCCTACCACCACCATCCAGCCTCTACATCTCCTCCTAGCTCTTCTCTGCACACCAATCTGCCCTCATTATGGCTCCTAAGCACTCTAGGCCCTCCTTGGACTACTTGGATCTGGATCAGCAGGAGAACATAGGAGGTGTCTTTGTGAGTATCTTGCACTCTCTCTCCATGCACTCACTCACTAGCTGCAGACTTCTGCTCCTCCCCAGGCTTCCAAGAGGGTTAGAGTGGAGGATTGGGTAGATGGGGATGATGAGGATGAGGATGATGATGATGATGATAAAGACTATGTGAGTACTTGGCTTCTTTTCAGCACATTCCCCCTAAACAGCTATAGACTCCTGGCCCTGCTCAGCCTCCTGCTAAGCCTGCTGAGCCTGCTGAGCCTGTTAAGCCTGCTAGGCCTGCTAGGCCTGCTAAGCCTGCCAGACCAGTGAGTACTACTTTTTGGGTGTGTTTCTTGCATCTCAAGCCCTTCAAGAAATTCCTGCCCCAGCACCAGGTCAATGAACTCCCATCTTCTGTCATAGACCCTGCCCACATCGTCTATGATGAAGTGGAGGTCTTGGAGTGGGCAGCCCGAGGTCGAGCTAAAGCCCACGAAGTCTTGGCCAACGCTCCTGTCTTCCAGCTTCCAAAGCCAATGAGGCTCTATCCTAGCTCTACCACCAAGAAGGAGAAGTTGGCTGACATGGATGCAGAGTGGGAGAAGATCAAGCCAAAGAAGTCTGTTGACTGCACCACCATCATTGAAGACTCGGAGGGGCAGCGGGTGCTCTACTATCTTGGTAGGCGCCCTGAGACTGTGAGTTTTCAATGTGCTACCCTATATGTTTCTCATCTATCTGGGCAGGACACACCTGGGGATACTCCTCACCCTATTGAATCACTCTATGAAGGGCGCACGAAGAGGGATGTTGATATTCTGAGAAATAAGGGTGTCTCTATCCAGAACGATGCTCTCACTGTGAGCTGCTCTTGTCTATGTCTTCTGCTTGTCTGATTTTGTTCTAGTTTGATGAGCAGATGAGGTTGCTGGCAGTCTGTCAGTTTTACACCTCCCATGTTCAGCCTGTCCTTCCTGAAAAGGATCGTCGTCACGAGGGGGATCGAGAAGACATCAACACTCACCTCTTTCGATACCAACGAGGCAAACGGGAGAAGAAGAGCAATGAGAGATCCGGAGTGGGCCATCTCATTCATTGCTGGACCCAGCAAGGGGATTCTCACTTTGTGAGTCTGCCTCTGTGGTACTTTAGTTAGAGCTAACACTGTGCAGACAATGACTCCAAGCAGTGATATTGGAGTCAAGAACGATCTCAAGACACCCAAAAACCCCAAGTCTGATAGACTTGAGGTGACAAAGAAGTTCTACACCCTCTCTGCTCCCTTTGCCGCGTACTTTGGTGCTCTGTTTGAGGTCTTCTATCCTGATCTCTATCAACGCTACCAGAAGGCGTTTGATGCAGGGAGCTGGATCCCTCATGACCCTGGACCTTGGCTTGGACGTGCCCTTGTCTGGAAACTCCCTCTCGACCTCCACTTCGACCATGGTGACATTGGGCCTACTCTCACTATTCCCCTTGGTTTCTTCCATAATGGCGAGATGGAGTTCCCTGCCCTTGGGGCAGTGTTTCAGTTTGTGCATTTCTTTTGAGATTAGCAAACACTAATCTGAGTTGGGCAGGTACCGTGCTGGAGACATTATCCTTGGCTGGGACTGCAAATTTGCCCACAAGGTTCGGGACTGGAAAATTGCTAGGCATGCTCTAGGCCAAGATCTCAGCCCTGAGAATGGTCCAATGTCCAGTGCCCTGAGTGGTTCTCTGGGGGCCGAGTTGCCTTGGTTTTCTTCTCTCATGCCATCACAGTGACTAGGCTGGAGAACAAGCCAGAGGGGTTTTTTGCCAAATACCCCAAGCACCATGAGCTGAAGGCCCAGGATAAGCATGGGAATACTGTACTGGATCCTTGGGAGTTGTGTGAGTGTGGGTGGTCAGAGTGTGAGCAGGAGAATGAGGAGAAGTTGAAGTTGCAGCCTGTTTGGAGGGCTGAGGGGAGACTAGCCACCAGACTCAAGGGCAAGGGCAAAGGCAAGGGGAAAGAATGAGTTTTATTTGAAATGTATCCTACATACAGAGTAACTAAAACATTTGGGGGTATCCAGACTTGGGAAAAGAAAGGATCAATGAGGAACCTGCCTCAGCATGTCTTGTATGCATACAGGCATGTGGGCATACTGTGGGAGGAGGGCATGGGCAGCACAGACAGGGAAGGGGCAGGGGCTTACTGGGAGACGACGGCGCCGCGGTCTTGACCGCGGCGCGGGATGCGAATCGAGGGCCGAGGACGTCCATTGGGACGTCCTGGCGCGTTGAGGGTGTCGGGGAGCGGTCGGACGGCGGGACAGGAGGTCGAGGGCGGCGAGAGGTGGAGGAGGAGGAGGAAGGCGCCCCGCGGACGGCCGTAGGCCGCCCGTTTGAGTGCGGGGCGCGGGAGATGGGCGAGGAGGGACGGGGACACGCCCCGCCGCGTCTTGTAAGCGGCCGGGGCGTGCGGACGCGCTGTGGGAGGACGGGCGGGCAGCGCGCAGGAGGACGGGGCACGGGGCTTACCGGGAGACACGGGCCGCGGTCTGACCGCGGCGCCGGGATACGAATCGGGAGGCCCAGGGCGTCCTTTGGGACGCCCTGGGCGCGTTGAGGGTGTCGGGAGGGGTCGGACGGCGGGACGGCGAGGCGAGGGCGGGAGAGGTGGAGGAGGACGGTGGGCAGCGCGCGCGCGCGGACGGCCTAGGCCGCCCGTTTTGAGCGCGGGGCGAGGGCGACGGCGAGGAGGGACGAGGGACACGCCCCACCACGTCTTGTACGCGGTCGGGGCGTGCGGGCGTGCTGTGGGAGGAGGACGGGGCAGCGCGCACGAGGGACGGGGCTGGGGGCTCACCAGCAGACGACGGCGCCGCGGTCTTGACCCGGCGCCGGGATACGAATCGAAGGGCCAGGGCGTCCTTTGGGACGCCCTGGGCGTGTTGAGGGTGTCGGGGAGGAGGTCAGACGCGGGATGGGGAAGTCGGAGGGCGGGAGACGGTGGAGGAGGAGGAGGAGAGAGGCGCCGCGCGGACGGCCGTAGGGCCGCCGTTTTGAGCGTGGGGCGCGGGAGATGGGCGAGGAGGGACGGGGACACGCCCCGCCGCGTCTTGTAAGCGGCCGGGGCGTGCGGGCGCTGTGGGAGGACGGGCGGGGCAGCGCGCAGGAGGACGGGGCAAGGGGCTTACCGGAGACGACGGGCGCCGCGGTCTTGAACCGCGGCGCCGGGATACGAATCGAGGGGCCGAGGACGTCCATTGGGACGTCCTCGGCGTGTTGAGGTGTTGGTGAGGTGGGAGGAGGCATGAGGGCGAGGTCGAGGGCTGTGGGGAGGAGGAAGAGGAGGGTGGGAGGGGAGTGTGTCGCTGTGGAGGACGGCCGTCAGGCCCCGTTTTGAGTGTGGGATGTGGCTGAAGGGCGTGGACGGGTGGGGGACATGCCCACCGTATCTTATACATGGTCAGGGTGTGTGGTTGTACTGTGGAGGTGTGATGGGGGTGGGCATGCCAGAGAATGGGGGCCAAGGACTTATCTGAACGACCACTGGTGCTGCATTCTTGAACAGTGGCCCTGAAATTGAATTGAAGGACCCAGGGCATCTTTTGGGAAGCTCTGGGCATGCTGAGGTTGTTGGGGAGGCGGTTGGATGGAGGATGGGGAAGGTAGTGGGTGGGAGATTGAGAAGGAGGAGGGTGGGAGATACCCAGTGAGAATGGCTGTAAGGCTGACTTTCTTTATGGCTCCTATACCCCTCTTGCCTCCTACCTCAACCACACTGCCCTACAGCCTTCTTCTCAGTCATCATCCACCATGTCTCTCAACCATGACATTATTCACGCTGTCTGCACCCACCTTCCCCCCTCCTCTGTTGTCAAAGTTGCACAAACCTCCAAGACCATGTACGAAGTTGCTATGCGCCCAGCATTGGCCACCGTCCACCTTCAAGAGTGGTACAACAAAAACAAAACCGATGCTCTAGCATGGGTGCAGTGGCTCGTTTCCATCCATCCCTACCTTCCCTATCCTCCATGCCACTACATCAAGTCTCTTATCACTCCTGAAAACCCCGATCTCATCCCCCATTCAGTTCTCCAGAACCTCTTCAGCAGCTCACCAGGTCTCTCTGAGCTTGTGGTTCTCAACTCAGGAGAGAACCTCCACATCATCCACATCTCCTTCATTTCCAAGTTAACTACCCTCTCTTGACCTCCGCGACTCTCCCCAGTGTTGCCACACTCACTCCCCTCCTCTCCAAACTTCCCCGTCTCTCCTCCCTGTCTGTGTCTCTCCAGGATGGCACCATCCCATCCGACATTACAGCTGAAGACTGGGGGATTCTTCATTCCTTCATCCTCTCCCTCTCCAAAGTCACCCAACTCTCTTCCCTATCCTTGTCAGGATATAGGAGCGAGTACGTGCAGGCTCTTGAGTCTGAGTTGGCGGATTGGATGGCCATTGAGACACTTGGTGTTCAGTCTCCTCTTTTAGACCTCAACCATCTCAAGTCCCTTGAACTCTGTTTGTGGCAGCCATCTTTGGTCCCTCCTACCCCTTCCCTTCTCACCTCTCTGTCTACTGCGACCGGACCTTTGCAGTCCTGTGGGCTCACCCTTTGCCCCACCTTCGCACCATCGACATCGACTTCAACCTCGATCCAGATTTCCAATATGTTGATAACGACAACAACCGTTCCTTCTCCCATATCGACTCCCTCCGATTTGATGAGACCTGGTTCATCCCTTCCACACATGCCGACTACCAGGGTGGGGAGTTGCCTTTCAAGATTCTCAATCATATCAAGTCCTTAGCCTCCCTTTCCTTCATCGAACTCTGGTGGGAGGACTATGGAGATTCCCTCACTGTCCCATGCGAGATGCTTACCAGAGCAGTGGAGCTCAACGTCAGGTCTCTGACTATCAAGAAGTTTTGGAATCACAGTCAATGTGCTTTTGATGTGCTTTTGGTATGTTTCTCAGCACTCATGTCAGACAGATTCTTATAATTATGTGTAGGTCACTCTGACTCGGAGGTTCTCTCCAGTTCCTCTCATCCATCTCAGCATTGGCTTTTCTCTGGACAGGCTGTTTGAAGGGCTCAACATGGACAGTGGCACTGCTTGCAAGAAGTTGGCTGAGGCACTAGCCAAAGCCATCCCCACTCTAGAGGTTCTGCAGCTGCAGATTGTTGACCTGGAGGAAGACGAAGAAGAGGAAGAGGAAGAAGAAGAGAAGGTCAAGGAACAGGCCAATGTATGGTGGAGAATCAAGCGTCAGGATGAGGTCATTCACTTGGAAGAGATCTGGAGTGATGTGGGAGAGGCTGCAGTGGGTTTGATTCAGAGCAAGTCCTTCAGACTAGAGGATCTCACAGGTTTGCCTTGTGCCACTCACAGTTGCACTCAAACTGATAGCTTCAACAGATCTATTTGGTAGGAGTGGTATCTACTACAAGTTGTAAAATACAGAGGGGAGGCTGTTGTCAAGGGAGCCAAGCAATGGGATGAGAAAGGCACAGGTGAAGAAGTGGAGGAGGAGGGCCTAGGGCACCCACATGTAGCAGCATGGACTTGAACCGCTGCGCCAGGATCGAATTGAAGGGCCGAGGACGTCCATTGGGACGTCCTCGGCGCGTTGAGGGTGTCGGGAGGCGGTCAGACGGCGGACCGAGGTCGAGGGCGGCAAGGAGGTGGGGAGGAGGCGGACAGGGCCTGCGCGCGGAGGCCGTAGGGCCGCCCGTTTTGAGCGCGGGGCGCGGGAGATGGGCGAGGAGGGACGAGGGACACGCCCCGCCGCATCTTGTACGTGGTCGGGGCGTGTGGGCGCGCTGTGGGAGGATGGGCGGGGCAGCGCGCAGGAGGATGGGGCACGGGGCTCACCAGCGAACGACGGGCGCCGCGGTCTTGAACCGAGGCGCCGGGATACGAATTGAAGGGCCAAGGACGTCCATGGGACGTCCTCGGCGTGTTGAGGGTGTCGGGGAGGTGGTCGACGGCGGAACGGGGAAGTCGAGGGCGGCGAGGAGGTGGAGGAAGAGGAGGAGGAAGGCGCCCGCGCGGACGGCCGTAGGGCCGCCCGTTTTGAGCGCGGGGCGCGGGAGAGGGCGAGGAGGGACGGGGGACACGCCCCGCTGCGTCTTGTAAGCGGCCGGGGCGTGTGGGCGCGCTGTGGGGACGGGGGCAGCGCGCAGGAGGACGGGGCACGGGGCATACCGTGAGACGACCGGTCGCCGGGGATACGAATCGAAGGGCCGAGGACGTCCATTGGGACGTCCTCGGCGATTGAGGGTGTCGGGGAGGTGGTCAGACGGCGGGACGGAGAAGGCGGAGGGCGGGAGATGGTGGAGGAGGACGGTGGGCAGCGCGCGCGCGGGACGGCCATACGGCCGCCCGTTTTGAGCGCGGGGCGAGGGCGAAGAGCGAGGAAGGACGGGGGACACGCCCCCCACGTCTTGTACGCGGTCGGGGCGTGCGGGCGTGCTGTGGGAGGAGGGACGGGGACAGGGCGCACGAGGGACGGGGCTGGGGGCTCACCAGCAGACGACGGCGCCGCGGTCTTGAACCGTGGCGCGGGATACGAATTGAAGGGCCGAGGCGTCCTTTGGGACGCCATGGGCGTGTTGAGGGTGTCGGGGAGGAGGTCGGACGGCGGGACGGCGAGGTCGAGGGCGGCGAGGAGGTGGAGGAAGAGGAGGAGGAAGGCGCCCGCGCAGACGGCCGTAGGGCGCCCGTTTTGAGCGCGGGGCGCGGGAGACGGGCGAGGAGGGACGGGGGACACGCCCCACCGCATCTTGTAAGCGGCCGGGGCGTGGGACGCGCTGTGGGAGGACGGGCGGAGCAGCGCGCAGGAGGACGGGGCAAGGGGCTCACCAGCGAGACGACGGCGCCGCGGTCTTGAACCGCGGCGCCGGGATACGAATCGGGAGGCCCAGGGCGTCCTTTGGGACGCCTGGGCGTGTTGAGGGTGTCGGGGAGGCGGTCAGACGGCGGGACGGAGAAGGAGGAGGGCGGGAGACGGTGGAGGAG